AGAATAGTAACCACGCTCTATCTAACAAAAAAAGAGTTAGCTTTCTCTCACCTTCTGTTCACATACAATAGTCTGGCATTGTTCCAGGAACTTTTGCAACACCCGTGATATTACGCTATATTGTAATAGAATTATGGATGTCAAACAATCTATCAAAGTTATTATTATCTCTACTACCCACATTGAATGCTATAAAAGTCGATTGAAGTTCAATCGATTACTTTTCATCATCTTTAACTGCGTTTGCCTGTTTTGTTGCAACCTAATTCTGTTTTAGTTCTTTTTCTATCTAAGGTAGTTGCATATAGTATTGTCATAGGGCTAATGTTTTCGCGATGCGAAAAAGAACAACAACAAAAAATTGCGTTCACTCTCATACATGAACCTACTGTTGCTGGAAAAATTGATCTATGCTAAGTTTTTCTATATACACTTTAGAGGTCTGTACAGGCTTACTTTTTGTGGGCCTAGCCTGTTCATGACAGGCTATGTACCTCTTCTGCCTGCCTGTTTAGGCCTATGTACTTTTTTTGCATACTAATATTAGGATAATAATTTAGTAGAAGTAGAAAATTGTCTTTATAAGAAAACAAGGAAGTTGCTGATATCAAAATAATATGACTAAGCGAAAGATCTATTGATTTAATGAAGTATGCAACTGTTGAGTAAAAACAAAAAGGAAGCTTTCAACATTTAGAAAAAACTGTTTTTGAGTAAAAATCTTTTTACTGAATTTGATGAACTAATTGAAGAGGACTTATTATGTCCGACCGCACTACGAAAATATAAATATGAATCAGAAACATAGAACTTCATGAATGCTTTATGTAAAATATTAATAACAATCAATTAAAAAGTGTGAACAGTAACCTACTGATGTGGATAAATAAACTAAATAAATAAATGGACAATGAACAACGTAATCATAATTTATTAATAGTTCTGCTTGTGCTGAATCAAACTGATGCAAAAAACATAGCTTAAATTCTAGAGCAAATATTCTCCATATTATGTTTTGATATCTGTACTTTCTACTCAAAAAATGAAGTTTTTTATTGAGAATTTAGAAAAAACACGACAGGTAGACTGGCTGCTTATTTAAAGCAGCCTGCTTGGCCTGTGACAGGCTTGAAAATCAGAGCCTGTACCTGTCACAGGTTGGTAGGCGCAGGCCGGCAGGTCCAATGGTCTGTTTCGACCTCTGGTACACTTTTCTTTTTGATAAAAAAGAGGAGAAAGAGGAGGAGTGGGTGGCCAGCATTTTAATTCTGTGTAAGTGGAACAACTATTTAATGATTTATTGTTTCGAACAAAACCAGGAACTAACGCAGAAACATAGAAATGCTTCTTAAACAGACAATAAAAAAACCAGGCTAGGACGAAATAAAAATAGAATAGATTCGGTTTAAATCAAATAAATCTAATTTTCTTTATGAATATGAAAAATAATAATATAATTTAAACGTTCTTGATTCATTGTACTGCGTAAATGTTTGTTTTTATTCGATTCATAACATTGAAGAATTCTTCACGGGTTACTGTTGTTACGAAACTTGTCAAATATGATGATAACAATTTATTGTAATCAAAAGAAACAATTTTCATAACTTGTTGCGTATTTCAAGAATAAAATGTGAATTGGTCTTGTAACTACGCGTTATCGGTCTGAAGAAAATGAAAATAAAACAGTAAAAGAAAATTTTTACGTTTAATATAGCCTACTTATTAAGCCTTTATTTGTCCAATCTAGAGTAGCATCAAGTCTACTTAGTCCACATGACTCCGTCATCTTTGTTTATTTTGACACAAGTACAAGAAATCGTATTGAAAACAAATCAAAATCGTGAAAAAGAAAAGATATTAGAGTAGTACTCATTAATGTCAAAAAATTATATGATTATAAAACTGCATTGGGAGACTATCAGTGATATTGAACAACATTATTTTAAAGTATCACTAAAAAATTAAAAAAACTATGTGAAGAAATATACCAATGTTTTATGAATCATTCTCAAAAATGCTAATTTATTTACAAATGCAAATGAGATAGTTGAAGTCGAAGAGAAAATTTTTATTTGTTTAATCGAGTTTATCAAGTTTAAAGATGAGTTTCAAAATGCACCAGATTTGGATTCTTCTTTAAGATTTTAATGAAAGTATATGCGCATTGATAAGAAATATTTTGAATTATGTTACTGAACATGAGAAAAAATCGATGTTCTGTTTCTTAGAAAATTTTTGGAGCATATACATAAATAGAATTCTATTTTCATTAAAATACAGAATTATTAAGTAATACGAAAATCTTCAGAAAAATAAAAAGAAAATGAATTGAATTTTATAACTCTGATGCTGTGTGCCAATCAAAGAGACGCTCAATCATCTAATGAAAGAAGCTTCATTGGAAAATATAGAAATAAAGGAACTGATATTGTTGGTCTTTATCAAACTATTGTAACAACTAATGGTACACGTTATTCAAACATTCCTTTCAAAAGAAAATCGAATAAAAGGTAGCACTGGAAGACAAGGTGATCACGAATCTTATGATCCAGAAAAATTTCATACAGGAAAAATATATATCGAAGACATTAAAACAAATAGACAATTACTAATCCATATTACTAAAGCTCTTAATATTATAATATACGATATAATTTATGATCGTTATTTCATAATAAACGTACTGATTCATATAAAACTCACTGTATGAAGCGAATATGAAATATGTTGAACAAGTAATATTAAAAAGCTTTTAGTTGAAGAAAATAAACCAAAAATGTTTCACATTCATGAATTGCTTATCTTATGGATGCAACAGGTTCAATGTTTCGCTTGTTGCATAAATGTAAAAATGCAGTAGACTCTTTGTTTGAGGGTGCTTTAGAAATTCTCTAAGATCATTAAATTAATACAAGATCATTTCAAATTCAGTTTTTATCTACTGAAATTATAATAATTCAGAAAATACAATCCTGCAAAGTTTACCTTGGGAGACAAAAGCCATATAATTTACGCACTTTTATGAATACTATTGAGGTTGAGGCAAGTTGCAATAGGTAATGCATTTCCAAATACGAAAAAAGAGGTGAATGAGAAGAGAAATTTCTTCAAAAAAACCTATTGGGAAAAGGTTAGGTTTTCGCAAGCAACCTTTGATGAAGTTGAATTAGCAAAAACGTAATATCGAATAAAATTCCAATACATGCTTTGTTTTGTAGAAATACGAGTAAAAGAAAAATTTCAAGAGATTGGAAATCGAACAGATATACGATGCAAATAATTTTAGACGTGAACTCGATTGGAAGCTCAGAAATGTTGAAAGATTTAGTGATTGGAAAGATTTAAAACAATGTCGGAGGAGCATCAAAAAAAGAAGTTCTTTTAACAGCATATAGAAAGAAATTTAGGAAGAGTTATACTCAAGGTACACAATTTCCTTGAACAAGGGAAATTTTCTCTGAATTTAATATTTTTCCGAAAACTTTCTCGAATGCACACTCATAAATATGCATAGATACTGTCCTCCATAGTTCTACATAAAAAAACCATTTAAATGAAACAATTTTATCATTCAAATACTTTAATTTCAAGTGTTGTAGAGATAAGAAATATCTTAAACTTCTTGAAAGTTCACTTAACCTAAAAATCATTTAATATTTTGTATTTTTGCATACTTTCACTGATTTGCATGTCTAAGTATTATTGTTCTTCACACAACATCCTCTGTAACATATGGACAATTTGATGACATAAAAGTCTTTGTTTCTCTTTTTAGCGTAAGGTCTCTGAAAAAATTATCTTTAATTTGAAGTTTTGTAGTGTTCTGTGTGTACTTGTAAAAAAATTAACTTTCGCTTTTGTCTGCTTGAGACTTAAAAGAGCTACGCGTCTTGTACATCAGATGCTTTTATACTCAAGGAATAGATTGACTCAATTTTTTATTCTCATACTAATAATATCAATTGTGCTGATAGAAATCCTGATTGTTCTGACGAAAAGCAACCAAATAATATTCACCAAGGACAACTTTTGGTAGTCACGAGCATTATGTATTAGACTTAAGTATGTTGTTCATCAATTCAACTGAATGCAATGGTAATATTTTGCAGAGTTTTGAAAAACATATCGAAGGATAACTACTTTAGAGTCAATCATTGCTTTTCGTAGGTTAACATTGGGAATGTTTTGTCATGGTATACTCATACTATACATACAAGCTAACAAAGTTATATAAGAGAAATAGTAAAAGAACAATATTTCGTCATTTTTCTATATTCTATTTGATAGAAAAAAGAAAGGGCTTTTATTTCATGTATTAGTCATAAGTATAGTTGCTGGAGAAAGAAAAGAAATAATGTGTATAAAAAGTGCAATGCATAACGTTATACAAGATGAATACCATCGACTTTTGAATCAGTCGCATGCAATCTCGATAAAGTCTAATAGCCTAATACGAACTATCAATAATTTATATAAACCCCCAACTGATTATTGTAAAAAAAAACAAAATCAATGTAGATAGGAGAAGGTCATTTCAAGGTTTAATGAGTCCCTTTATTATATCTACACAGCCAAAGATCAATAATGTTCGTCTTACGCATGATTAGACTCATACAGAATAGAAAAATCCATCTTTTTCAACGATGTATATTCATTCATCATCCATATACACAAAATCGATAATATAAGTGTACTTTTTATTCGTTACCATGTGCGCCTGTTACGTTAAAAAAAAGCGAAAATTTATTTTTTTTTCCAAACAGATAGCAAGTCCAAATGCAATGGACCTCACAGACTTGTTTACCAAAAAATTGAAATTAATTTTTTCAGCGTTAAATACCTCTTATCTAAGTGGGTAATAAATCGATGTGAATAACAAACGATATGTCTATAAAAAGAAAGAGAAAGACGCGTATGCGTAATCCTATCGCAATTTTAACTATTGAAGAGTAGCTGTTCGATCTATTGTCTTGTGTCTTACCATACAAAACTTATTAATGTCCACGCCTCGTGTTTTAGTTGACAAAAATACTGGAAAAAAGCATTGTATCGATGGTCTCATAGAATCAAAACACAAGTCTGAAGATGAAAAGCTACGACAAACATTCGGTGATCATACGAAGTTAAATGCTTCACAACTTCTACCTAAAGTCGATCTTCGTTCAGGCATGCCACCTATTAAACATCAAGAGCGAGTAGACAGTTGGTATGTATAAAATATTTGACTTAAAACCATGATATCTATGAAATTTCTATTGATTTAGCGTGGGGAATGCTATGGCAGGTAAATTGTTGAATTGTTTTTTAGAATTTCGTCAATGTTTTATTTTAGAAGCTTATGAATATTTATTAAAAAAAAGAAGTCGTAATGGCATCGATGTAAGTCGATTATTTATTCATTACAATGCTCGAGTTAGAGGTAAATTTGCAGATGGAAAAATAATAGATAAAGGTAGTATAATACCATATATTATTGAGGTATTAAAACAATTCTCTACGTGTCTCAAATCAATGTGGCCATATGATATAAAAAAAGTAAATGAACGTCCAAGTGATGAAGCATACGAAGCAGCCAAAAATAATTGGATGACTCGTTTATTACGACTTAAAGTGGATTTAAATGAGATGAAAACATGCCTTACGCAAGAATATCCATTGATATTTGGTGTAAAAACATTTGGTCTTCGACACAAAGTGAAAGAAAACGGTATTGTACCAATGCCAAAACCAGGAGAAAGTCAGTCAAAAGATCATCGAAGGTTTGATTTTATTTAAATAGAAAAAATTATCATTATAATTGATCATTTTAGAAATGCGACGTTAGCTATAGATTATAGGCATCATTTGAAAACGTTTATCGTTCAAAATTCCTGGAGAAACGATTGGGTAAGTAAGAATCTCTTTAAAAGAAATATTTATGTTTCGTTTCATTTTAGGGTGATAAAAGATATTGTTACAATCCATATGATTATATGACTGATGATGATTTTTGTTTTCAAGGATTGGCTGTTCGTCAAGTGGAAACTGATGATATCGATTATGAACACTGGATCTATGATGATTCAATTGATTATCAGCCAGATAATGTTGATGAAGAAAAACCAAACGAACAAGAAGAGCAAAACAATCAAGACAACCAATAATAAAATTTCGAGTAACAAAATAGAAATTAAGATAGAAGAATACAGATGAATTTTGTGTTATTAATTTTTACCACGAATTCATCAGAGTAACAAATTTATATGAGGAGATTCTTTTTTATGATTTCACTGTTATTTATATTTATAAACATTTATTGAATAAATATTTAGTATGAAATTTCTTACACATAGGCAGTTAACAGGTTCATTGAATGAAGTATTGAGAAGAACTTATAGCAGAGATCTGCAGTTTTCTCCTGTTGAACAAATATGTTTGAATGATGAATTTCACCATCAATCTGTTCTGAATATCAGATGTTCATTCATGTGAAAACAAAACTATCCAAGTGTCTATGTGATGTGCACATTACTTTTTTTATATGTAAAATGTTGATATCTTACAGCAAGGTAATGAAAATAAGAGTAAAGATTTACCGTGTAATGGTGGCTACAATATATAATAAGGATAAGATTGTATTTGATAATTTGTGTCAAGAAAATGAAATCAACAGAAATATTAACCGAAGAGGAACTATTGCTTATTACTAGGCTTTGAAATAGGCCATCCAAACACGAGCTTGACTTCTAGGTTTAACAGAGATTTCTTACATAAGAGAACATAGAATGAAATCTAATTTTAAGTGATTGAAATTATACTATTTGTATTCAATAAAATGTTGATTTTTCAACTGAAAAATAGATTTCTCTTGACATTAATCTTCCTTATTGGTTTCTTCAAACTCAATCGAAATTTATCTTTACTGGTGAAGAATCAGAATTAAATGACTCCATTTTTATCGACATTATGAAATTCACAGGTATTTTTGAAGAAAAGTAAAAGACGCATAAGTTCTACAATCTTCCAAAGGACTCAATGAACCTAAGATTTTTACTGCAGATGTTGGTTCCTCGAAATATTTCAGGTTTCGGAATTCAATGCAACAAAAGAATCTTATTTTAGGTGTTAATTAGTATGGTGGTTATTTTGTTGATCTAGTAGTGTCACACTAGGACGAACTTGAAAAGAACGAATGATTTCAATTCTAAAATTAATTAAAACAGATCACTATGTGCCAAAGTTGATTGAGTGAAATGATAGTTTTTCTCGAAAGCTGGTGTAATGATCAAATTAATATGCGAGGGAGACTAATATAATGTTTAAGCTGATGAAAGAAAGGATAAAATGATGTTTGCTGCTCTTCGTGATATGTATCATCTAGCGTATTATTAATAGAAAAGTAATTGTTTAAGAGACCTTTAGACAAGACTCTCGATTATTTAGTAATACTATTTATATATCTAAAAGATGTTGTACAAAGAGAACTTCGTTTGTAGAAACTTTTACAAATCTACTTTTAATTTAATTCAATTTTTAATTTTAAGTGTATTTTACAAATATATCAAGAAACAAGAAAGATTAATTCATCGGAATATAATTACAGACATTCTTCCTAATATGCTGCAATGAATTATAGTACCCATGTATAATATGTTTGCAATAAACTAGGATAATTAGATTCTAAAATTTTCTCATTTTCTGCTAAGTTTTTAATGAGTGAAATGATTTGATCAGTATTTTCTTCGTCTACATTCTTTGGCACTCTTCGAATATCGATTATAGTTTTTAACTTTATGATAAGTATTGACATTAATAGAAATTCTTTCTTCAATATACATTCGTTTGTATATAGACATAGTACAAATGAGATTGATGAATAATTTATATTCTTGTTTATAAAAAAAACCGATAGTTTTATATAGATTTATCAAATAAGAATATCAAACAATGATTAATAAATATACTTTTCTTTATATATATAAATATAACTTCATAGAAAAAATGATGATCATTAAAAACAAATAAAATTAACTAAAAAACAGAAAGAAGAAATAGTGTTTTTGTTTTCTTTCTTTCTTGAACAACGAGATTCAATATAATGTGATCTCTATATTATGATCAATAAAATTAATATAAATTAAAATTGCAATAAGAAGACGTGATTTTTAAAATAAAATGAATATTATCTTGTTGAATTTATCCAACGCTAAGTAATAGAAAAACAAAAGAAAATGAATTAAATTAAAATTCATTTAAATAATTTACCGATTGACGAAGTTTCTCATGTTCTATTATTAGTGATTTTTCATTATCGGTGTAACGAAGAACAGCACAAATAACTTTTGCCATTGTCTAACAAAATGATTTATTTATTTTTGTTTCAGATTATGAAATAAATTTAACATACTAATCGATCAGTTCCTGTCATATAAGCAAGTACAATTTGTTTCAAATAATCAACTTCAGTTGGTTCAAATACAAATGAATGTTGACTATCATGTGAATGATTTAAATATATATCTAAATAAAATATGTAGAAGAATATAAAACTATTTTTCATATTGTACCATCCATTGAAGTTTGAGACGAATTCTCAGTTGTTCTATAAAACATAATCATTTGATTTCTTTTCTTTTCTCGTTTGAATTAATTTGCTTATCACTTACTGAATAATTTGTTTGGTAAGTTTTTGAATTTGATTTTGTAGATCTTGTATAACTCGATGATAATCTAATTGTTTTTCCTATAAAATCATATTCAGTTATTTATTTGGATTAAATTAAAATCAAAAGCAAACTTTTAATTGTTCTTGCATTTTCGACATTTGTTCTTCAGCAACGAATGCTCGTTGTTCAGCATTACTTGCTCTTTTCTCAGAATTGATAATAAGATCATTTTCAGTTTTATTATTCTTTTCTTATAATGAAGAACGTAAGAAAAAGATAATTAAATGAATAATATCGTTGTTTTAGTTTTGAACTTACGAATAAGATCATTAAGTTGTTGATTATAATTATATTCGTTTTCTTCGATTTTATTACTCATTTCTTTTGCCATTGCTTTTAATTTTATATTATATTCTATTTCTTGTTCTTTCAATCGTTGTTCATATTCTTGAGTTAATTTTTGTAATTGAATTTCTAAATTGCAGAAAAAAAGAAACATTGTTTTTTTAAAGAAAGAAAGAAAGAAAGAATCAAACATTATACCTGTATCATTAGAATTTGTTTGTCCCTTATTACTTATTGATTCTTTCGTTTTTTGTAATGCTTTACGTAATTTAGTTGCACTTTCTTGTGTTTGTTTAAGGGTTAATTCAATTTCTTGAATTTTTTCATCACGTTCTGTTATTTGTCGATCTTTTTCATTAATATCTTGTTCAAAATTAAATTTTTCATTTTCATATTCATCTATTCGACGAATATTTTCTTCATTTATATTTATTAAAGATTTTATTTCATTTTTTAATGTTTCGATTTCATTTTGATAAGTCTCACGTTCAGTCTGTAACGAAAAGATTTATCAAAGATTTCTATAGTTGTAACTATATAGGATGTCAATCAAGTATAACATTGTACAAGAAAAAGGTGTCATTAAATACTAGAGATGTGCATGGATTCTAGAAACTAAGCTCAGCGCAGTATAGTTATAACGCTTGATAGTAGGTGGAAAAATTTTTTGTCTGGCAATGTCTTCTTAATATTGAAGCCAATGTAATATTTCTTAAGAAATATCACTTCGTTTTGGAACACACTCGTATGAATAACAATATAAAGTTAAAAACATTACGAAAAATTTGGACAGTGTTCATTTTTTACCCACACTCTCTTTTTATTAAAGGTTCTAGCACTAGAGTTTAATAGCTGATATGCTAACAACACGACTGCTCAGTGTGTGATCGCCTTCGCGGGAGCGTTGCATATTTATGCCACATGCGATGACTTGGGTTCTTAATTAAAGACAAGAAAAAATAGTCTACCGGGCAGGTGAGAATAAGCCGCTCATACTGTATAAACTTCGCATAACTTCTCTAATTGAAACTAATAATTTTCTTTTCTTTTGAAAAATACGAAACAAATAAGAACATGAAGTTCTACAATGTTTTTAGATAACACACATAAATGCACAGATATATTTCAATTCTTTCGAACGACAATTCTAATAGCTTATAAAAGGATCCAAACGAAAGGGAAAAAAATCCATAAGCAATCACGTAACAATCACTGCCTTTGTTCGTCTGATTTATTTTTCTATCATCTAAGTTTGTGTATATTTAAATGAAAACTTTCTCCTATTTAAATCTTTTCCAAGGATCAATAAAGTTATATCTACGTAAAATTTCACTTCATTCGACTTTATAACACGTAGCAATTACACTGTCAGAGCTTGTCGATAGAATTCTATTAGTTTACATGTGATTGAAATTTTCTTATAGCAAAAATATAACATTTTGAAAACTTTTCTCAATAGTCTTACAAATCTGATGTTTACAATTGTTTTCAAAGTTCTAATTTTGTTTGTTCTTGTGATTGAAATAATTCTTATTAACAAACCTCAAATTCTTTGTTTTGTTGTTCAATTTCTTCAAGTTTAATATTATTTTCATTCAAAGTTGTTTCTATTGTTTGCATTTGTATACGAATACGATCTAATTCATTTTCAAGATTAGTTTTTTCAGAAAGAGTATTATTTAATTTAATTTCTAATTGAGAATATGTTTCATTTTGTTGTTGTTGTAGTGAATGGATGAGTTTTTCTTGTTCATTTAGTTTAATTTTATATGTTGATACTTGTTCATTTTTTTCATTAAGTTCAGAATTTTGACTAATTAATTTTTGATGAAGATTATCAATATCTTTTTGTTTTTCATCGATTATTGATTTTTCTTTATTAAATTTAGATGTAAGTTCTTCGATAGCTTCTGCATGTTCTTTATGTAATTTCTCAATTTGTGATTGATAATCTTGTTTGATAGTATCAATCTGTCAAATAGAAATAAGTAAATTAATAAGCAATGAAAACCTACTAAGACTTATTTAAACATCTAAATGTATCTATGAATATAGATAATAAATTCTACTTATATTGAAAGAATATCATAGTCGCAAAGATTCAATTTAATGTTTTATTCTTAGTCTCGACTTCGAGAAGGAAATAGCTGCATACATGACATTATAATCACACGGTATCGATAAAAGCACTTCGAATCAGTTATTTTTCCTTCGATAATTCCCTCAGGATATCTCGAATCACACTTTATTTTAATGCGAATGATATAGAAACAGGAGCATACCCAAGGGGGTGCCCAGGCACCCCCTTGGAGAAAAAATGTCTAGAAGGGAGTACAGGGCTAAAAGACTATATATAGGATCAAGAAATTTTTTCAGCTGGTGGGCACCCCATTAAAAAATTTCTGGCTACGCCCTTGTATAGAAGATAAGCAATAATAGGACGTGGAAGTAATCGGTTACCAAAGTAAATAAATAACGGAAACGACAAATGAAGAGTTTATCAAGGAAAGGCTATTGTTCAAAACTAATGTCACTATAATGCTTGGTGGGTTTGAGTATGAGAATAGGTGTTGTAAACAGTTGAGTAGCACTCACACCTGCACCCAGCCAGGATTACTTGATTTGAAAAATTTTTCTAGCAAAATAACCATAGCCGCAAACTTTTTTCTATTCGGTGTCTGGTAGTGTAATAGTAACTCTTCCCCTGTTTGATCCTAGCTTCATATCTTCTATTAAATATTACTGTTCAGATCAAAATCTCGAAAACTAATAAAATACCATTTTGTCTCGCTCTTCCAATAATTGTCGATCATTAATTTGTGACGTTTGAATACTTTGTTGCAATTGTTCATGTTCTTTAATAGTTGATTTTAATTCATCAATAGTAGTATGAAGTTGACTGATATCATCTTGTTTTTCTTCTAGTTGTTTTTCAATACTTTTAATATGTACAATTTTCTCATTAAGTTCATCTTGTAACTCTTTTGTTGCAACATGAAAATTTTCTTGTAATGTTGCTAATTGTTCATCTTTTTGTTTATTAGATTCACTTGTTTGTTGATATTGTTGTTTCAATAAATTATATTCGTCGGCAAGTTGTTTTTGTGATAGATGTGATTGAGATTTTAATTTTTCTAATTCGTTTTCAAGTTGTTTAATTCGAGAAGATTTTTCTTTTAATTCTTCTTCGTATTGATTAGATTTAGTTTTTTGTTCATTTAATAAAATTTGAAAATGATTGATTTCTTCTCGACCTTCATCAATTTGTTTTGATAAATCAGTCATTTTATCTTGTGATCTTTTAGTTGTAGCAATAAGTTCATTTTCAACTGCAGATAATTGTTCTTTTCGAGTATTTTCAAATTCGGTTTTTAATAATTCAATTGTTTTCTTATGTTGATTTTCAATTTCTTCTATTTGACTATTGAGACGATCTTTTTCTTCATGCAATTGTTTTAAATTACTATCAAATTTAGTTTGTTGTTGATTCATAAGGTTAGCGATTTCTTTTGAATGTTCTTGACGTAGAGTATCAAGTGTTTGTCTTAGCTGAATACAGTTAGCTAAAGCTTCATTATAATCATGTTGTAATTTCTCAAGACTAGTCTTTGTTTCGTTGATGTCATCATCTAATAAAAAGAACAAAAAACAAGATGAGTCAAAATCTAATTTCGAAAGTAGTCTTGATTTTACTATCATTCAGTTTTATAGCCTTCGAAGAATTTATCTTTGTAATAGAGACATATAGGACTAAAGAAGACAGCTAAATGTCTCAGATTTTTGATGAATAAATGTCTCCAGTTGATAGAAACTTTTTGAAATGAAACTTAGCAAAATCGATAATAATTCGCTTCTTTGTTGATTTATTTTCGAGTTACGTTCACCGTCGTCCTGAGTTTCTGGTCGAATGCGAAATAGGTCATCAAAAATTCAATGTCATCGTTTCAATCTAAAATTTTTTCCATAAGTAGATTTGATGAATCCTATCATACATTGAGAGTTTTAGCTTGATCAAATGTTTTCTTCTTGAGATAACATATTCTTAAGAATACGTATATTTTAGAAGGGAGTCAGAAAAATCTGTTGTTCTTATAAATCGATTACCTCAAAAAGAAAAAGTTCGTCAAAGCTGAAAATTTTAGTGTAGGATTGGATTTATAAGGTTTGATTACAAGCATTTCTATTTAGTTTTTAGAATTCGATGCAATAAAGATCTAAAGAGCTGAGATTTTTCTGGTATCTAAAGTAACTCAACATACATCTGTTATGTAAAAATTAGCTAAAAGAAATTGCAGAGACCGGAGTTATATGCATTTTGATTTTGAAAATTTACATCGCTAACGATGAGAGGTATGCAGAGTAAGCTTTTTTCGTACTCTAACTGAGAAAAATAAGCTTATCATGGACTGAGACATCTTAGGCTCAAACATTTGTTTCTTGTTCGACTAGATTGATAAAAATATTATCACCGTAGAGACACATATTAATATTAACCTGTAGGTTCATGTTGTTGTACTGATTGATATTTATCTTTATACATTGTCCGTTCTTGAGCTGTTTCATCAAGTAACGATTGAATATTATCTTTTGCTTGTTTTATTTGATGTAATTCATTTGTTAAATTTTCATATTCAATTTTAAGAGTTTCAAAAGATTTTACATGTTGTTCATTTTCTTTTAATAGGTTATCTTTAAGTATTGCAATTTCATTATTGAGTTGTTCAATTTGTTGTTTATCTTTAGAAAATTTTTCTTGATAATTTTGAATAAGATCTTGAAATTCTTTTTTTGATGTTTCAAGATTTAATTTATCATTTATTAATTGTTCGAATTCTATTGTTGTTTTATCAAATTTTATTAATAAATCTTCATATTTTTGTTTAAATTCATCTCGTTCATGTTTTATTTCATCATTAAAATCAGCTTTAAGATTTTGTTGTTGTTGTTGTTTTGCTAATTCAAGATCAGTTTCAAGTTGTCGAATAGAATGATGTGTCGATTCTAATTCTTGTTGTAAACGTTCTTTATCATGTAATAAAACACTTATATCCGAATCAAAATGATCTTTAACTTCAAGTGATACGGCTGATGTTTCTTCTGAATGACGATTCTATGATTTAAAAATATTCATTTTCAATTTTTTGATTAATAAACAAAAATAAAGAACTTCAATTATCTATCACTGGACTTTATACAAAAACATAATGTCTACTTTTACATGAAGAAATACAAGACATAACATTTACGAAATACATGCGGGATGCATATATATCTTTTATCGAATAGTTTTAGTTCGAATTTCACTCACCAAAAAATTTTTTACAAAATTTTTTAAAGTGAAATGATCTTCTACTTTTGAATTTGCCTGTAAATATATATATATATATTTCTTAAGAATATGTCTTTTAATCTTTCATTTGCTTTTATTATTTTGTTTTCTTTTTTACATATTGATATTAATAAAAACAAAAGTAGAAAAAAAGACAAACAAACATACTTTCATCAGTGATTCAATAAATTCTTGTTTTTCATTTAATTTTTGTATAAGATCATCATGTTCTGTAACTAATTCAGCTTGTTTTTCTTGATGAGCTTTTATTGCTTCTTTACATCGAGTAAGTAATGTTTCGAGTTTAGTATTCTATAGAAAAAAAAACAAATTAATAATTCATCAAATTTTATGAATGTCATGAAGCAGTTAAAATCAACATAATATCAATATATCATATTGAGTAAATCCTCTAGGGATTGAAAACATATATATATTGGGCTTTTGCATAAATTTTAACTGGTACGATTATCTATCTTCACTAGGCAATAATAGTATCATCTCCTTCTCGCATATTGTTAACGTCATACGGCATCATTTGTGGTGTACCATTATGCATACATATCAAGGAGAACAAAGAAAATTTTGAATAGGGAAGTACTCAAAAATTAATGGAATCTCTAAAGTCAAAGTCTTTTAGCATAACATAAAGTCAAACAGAGTTTCAGAGTCATCATTGTTCGATAATGCTGCGACTTTTATTGAAGCTCTAATGTTACAGATTATGAGAAGTTAGATTTTATGAGATCTATATTAAAGTCCAAGAAATTTACGAAGTATGATCATTTTTAATTCTTGAAGATGATAAACCGATCAAGGTGAAATTTTTACAACATAAAATAAAGAGATATACATTTATGGAAAAATATATTGAATTGAATTTTTCATAGAAAACATTGTTCTTTCATAGGGTCACATTCCAATTGTTTGCAAGTCTTATCAAACTCTTCTCTTTCGTTAGTGTTCACATAAAATACCAGAATTTTTTAATCGATCTTGTTTTCGATTCCCATTTAACTTTGCTTCAGACAATTTTTGTTATCAACTCTAGTTCCTAATTTATAGAATTTGTAGTTAAAAACAAAAGCAATCAGAAAAAAACGTTTCTGAAAAAATTTTCAAATCGATCGGATATTACTAGCTGAAGATCATGATCGATTCAATATAAAACTAATCATCTCCTATGTTCTAGCTATAGTAATAATTCTAGCTGGATAGATCGCAATATCGTTGAGAAATAAAAATGATTCAAATATCCTAAACTCACAAGGGAAGTACCGTAACTGATTAATCACTTTTCGGTCGGAACAATATTTGTCATGTAGATCCTAATAACTTATGAATATTCTGAAAATAGTTCACAATGTTAGCTTATGTTCCCATCAGGAATATCGGAAAACTGATTCTCGAATTTCAAATCGAAATTTTGCACAAATATAAATGTAAAATACAATTGTTCATTGTGAAAGTTTCAGATTTTTTCGTCGTTCCTATCTTGAGATACAACTTTGACAAAAACCTAAGTTTCAACATTGTTTGTATACGCTGTTAGATTCACTGTTCTCATTTCAGAATAGGAGCAAATCACAAGACCTGAAATTTTCACACACTAAATCATTCTATTTAAGATCTATTTCTATGAGAAAATCAAAAGACAATTTGTATGGTATTCCTAAGAGAAATCACGGCTTTGATTTGCTATAAGTCGATAATAATAACCTGCGGACCTACGGATCTGTATTCTTTTTCAAAATACGCATATCGTATTAAGGTCTCCATGATGCATATTGTCTCAACTCAAAAATGATTAATCGGTTAGAAGACTTCTCGCTTGTAAGTCAGTTGACATTTGCGATAAAGAGTTCTTTCATTCGTTGAATAATGATCTGTCACCGTCACTCATTAGCATAATAAAGTCAGCAAAACGTCTTTTTACTTTTTAACAAACGTAAGTTCATTGCAATATTTAACATAGGTTTCAGATATTTTTTCACTTGGTTCGATTTAAAAAGAAAACAATCTAACCTTTTCACGAAGATTTTGGATTTCTTGTTGATCTACTTGTACATGATCTTTTTGTACTGTAAGCTAAAAATGACAAAAAAGAAACATTAATCTTCTAATTATAATTTAAGAAAAAAAAATTTTACTTGTTGAGTAAGTTCTTCAATTCTATTATCACGTAATGTTATTTCTTTTTTATATAAAGATTCAAGTTGTTCTTTAGCTTGTCGTTCAAATTTAATTTTTTCACGTAATTCTGTTTGTCGTTTAATTGATGTATCTTGTTGTTGTTGTAAAATATTCTAAAAATTTAAAAACAAATAAATTTATTTATTTCTATTTCATTCTTCAATACTTTTATATGATCTTTTTCACGTTCAGTTTCATTATAAGCATTTCTTAATTGATTAAATTTATTTTTATAAACATCAAGTAATTTTTGCATTTTCTATTTACACAAAAAACAAAAAGCAAAGAATTCTTGGTTAACAAAAATCAATAATTAAATATTTAAGTAAACACATACATTATTTGTTTCATGATCACTTTCGTCACCACCATGTTCTGATTCAATATCAGATGGTGGCATAAAATTGCGTGTTGGAGAGACATAATGGCTATTAACAGTAGTTGTTTGACTAATGTCACTTGCAGCTGAATCTAATCGAGAACGATTATTGTCCTTGTAAGATGAAACCAAAGTTTTTAATACAAAAAACAAAAAAAAAAGATATTTCTTTTACAAGATTATCATCATGACTTGTAATCGAAGATGTACGAATACCAGATTCTTTTGAAGATGATGTCTAATTATAAAAAAAGTTAAATGAAAGGATATTCATATTATGAATTTTTCTTTTAAGCATACTGAATCATTTGATATAATGGCTGAAAATAATGTTTGATTCGTTTTATTGACTTGCGTAGCTAATTTTTCTTTTAAATTTTTAAACATTGTTCGATGAAATGACACGAATCAATTCTCGGAGATAGTATTAGAATGAATGTTTTCTTTTCTTGATAATTGGTTTTTATATTCAATTAGAATCATGTCGAATAGAGGGCGCTTCAGATTGCCTTTTGAGTTCCTAAACAATATCAAAATCTCAAAAAATTTCAAACCTTGCATCATTCACCTTTCACAATATCTTCACTTAAAGTTTCTATTGAAATCTATAGAATAGTGTGGCATCTATCGAATAAGATTTTTATTTCTCCAATAAAATTAATAAACAAATTTCAAAACAGCTGTATTGATTTGCATACATTTATATTGTCTATACAATAATAATATGTTATCAAATGTTGATGAAACATTTTTAAATGATGAATATAATTTATCTCTAGAATCCAATTCATCTATATTAAATAATCTATCGCAATATTCATTTCAATCATCAATTATTCCTACACATTTTAATATGAATGATTCAGATGATTGGATTCTTGCTTATTCAATTATTAAAAATTCTGTTGTGCAAATTGAACGTACAAATAATAATGAATTATTACGCTTAACAAATAATAATGGTCAAAAATTTACTTTTCATGGTAGTCCACGTGTACGTGGACCAAAATCAACACGATTTACATGTCCTATATGTGGTTTAATAACTGTATCAATGGAACGTTTACAAAAACATGTTAATCAACATGGACAAAAACTTCATTTAGAAACTTATCGACCTGAAAGAAAATTATCATCATTAATATGTGAAAAATGTAAAGCAACATTTTCATCCACATATGCATTAAGAAAACATCAACGTGTACATACACGAGGTTTGTTTTGTTGTTTTTTTTTTTCAAATTTAAAATTTCATCTAAATAGATAAACCTTTCTCATGTGATTTTTGTGGTTCAAAATTTTCACAATGGGGAAATTTACGACATCATATACAAAGACATTTAGGTATTAGTCCATATGCATGTCCATATTGTAAAAAAACTTTTATTGCACCATGTAAACTTGAAGTACATATACGTGGTCATCTTGATGAACGACCATATGTATGCGATCGATGTCAAGCAACATTTCGTTGTAATGATGATTTACGTAAACATTTAATTATACATGCTGATTATAAGGTTTCAAATTTTTTTTTTTGTTCTGAAATCTATTTTTATAAATGATCATATTATTGTCTCTTCTAGCCATTTGTTTGTTGGTTATGTACAAAACAATATTTTCATGCATCAAAATTACGTATGCATATGAAAGAAAAACATGATTTAAATGTAATTATTAAAAAGAAAGATGTTTTAGAAGAAGGTATTGAATATGAAATAACAATTATTAATCAACAATTAAAAGAAATTTTATCTGATGAACAGACAACAAAAATTTTTTATGAATCAATAATTAATTCTGATGATAATGAAACACATATAATTGATGAAAATATTGGAAATTATCAATTATTAAATGAATTAAATGTTAATGATATTGAAACATTTGTTAAATCAAATCCATTTGTTTTATCAGATACTGATTTAAGAACTTGTAGTCAACCAAATCCTCAAAATCATTTTGATGATTTTAAATTAATCGACTTTCCGGTTATGTAGAAAAAAACAAAACAATAGAAATAAAAAATTTTGTTTTGTTCGATTTATAGTTTATGTTCCATTGAATGAAATCAATCAATTTATAATTTTTTTCTTTTGCCCTCTTTCAAATGATAATCTCAATTTAAAGCTCATACTTTGCTCATGGGGTTGTTCTTCTCGAGTTATGTTCGTTCAACTGAACTTACAACCTACAACAAGGTAGGGATCATGAGATTTATTGTTAGGTAAAATCTTCGACGACAATTTATTATTGGAGTTTTGTTTTTCTTAAGAGTCTACTTTAGACTGAAAGTCAGTAAATAAGCAGAGTTAAGATGAAAAGCCTAATGTCACGATCTTGTTTAAGACTTTTTATATACTTTATAAGTCCTATGGAATCGACATGATTGATGAGGAAACCTTCTCAGATGTTACTGTGTGATTTTCATGCTTTTTTTTCTTTATTGATACTACATAGTATTCCAATAAAAGTTCTAAAAGCATTTGACTTTCTATTGAGTTTTGACTACACTATTGAATTTTTTTTCTAGAAGACCAGATTTTCGAAACAGTCGTATTTTCGAATTTCAATCTAAAATCATATGTATAGAAAGAACTCAAGTGGCTATTTTGTGTAAAAAAAACTCAAAAGTTTTGAATAAAGTCTCTTTAAGATATGATACTTTCAAGATATAGACCTTTCTTCGTGGACAATGTATTTTGTTGAACGATTCATTTCTTGAAGAGACTCTGTTTAAAATTCCTGAACTTTTTTTCTGGAACCTAGTCTAGCTGAGGGTTCTATATGTGTAAATTTTCAGATCGAAATTCAAAAATATCCAAATTCTTTTCGAGTTTGTATTAGAACACTATGTAGTATCTATCGTTAGTATGCTCACTACTTTGTGTCAAGTATCTCATACCGACTGATAGAGATAGTCTTCTTCCTCCATGATTTTTACCTATGAACAAAATATGAGCTCAAGCCAAGATAATCAACTAGAAGAATTTTCTTATTAGACTTCCAGTTAGTTAGATCACATTTGGTATTACTCGCAAACGATTAAATAAATTGAATAGTGTAATTCTATTTAGTCGGACTTTAGAAAAAAAGAAAAATGAAAGAGAATGCTAGTAGATCGAAAGTTTGTCTTCTTCAAAGATTTAATCTTATTGAGATCTTTGAATGTAATCAACCAACTATCTGTCTAGTGCTGATGTTTTTCGGAAGGTTTTTTTCTCTATAGATTAGGACGGCGTCGAGAATCTAGTACAACATTCAGCTTAAGATAAACGTCCATCGTTTTTTTAACATTCAACTTCATTACTTAAAAGTGATTGCTTATAGAGCAATTGAGCTATGCAATAAAAAACAGAAATTTGTAATTTCGATTTTAGTCTTCAACAAGTAATTTTGTTCTATTTACACACAACATATGACTGGTTTTTCAACGCTCATTCTTTAAATCTATTTAGCTAGTAAATATTAGTTGTATAAAACTTTTCTAGATATGTCTGAATTAACAATTAGTTTTACGAATTGGCTTGCTATATCTTTACGTAATGATACTGCTATTGTATTCAATTTAAATGATACACAACAATGGCAATATCTTAAACCTGTAGCAGATGATAATCAGTCAAAAGAAAGTACTCCTACAACAATCAATAATAAACAACAACAACAAGAAAAAACTGAAGATGATGATGATAATAATATTAATGAATTGAATCGTAATCTAATTAAATTTACACCTGATGGACAAAAATTAATTACTAATGGACAAAATAAACAAATATATATTTATATATTATCGAATAATGATAATACAAAAATATATTGGCAATTACAACGAATAATAACAATAAAAAAACGTGCATCAGCATTAGATTTAACCAATGAATTTCTTCTTATTGCTGATAAAAGTGGTGATGTTTATAAAACTGATTTATTAATTAATCAGAATGTTGTTCTTACATCGGATGATTGTATTATGGGACATTTATCAATGTTACTTGATATTACTTTTATTTCTATGAATAATAATCAACAATTTATATTAACAACTGATCGAGATGAAAAAATCCGTTTAAGTCATTATCCCAATGCTTATAATATTCAAGGTTATTGTCTTGGTCATACAGAATTTGTTTTACATGTTAAATTAATTGATCAAAATCATATTCTCTCAGCATCAGGCGATGGTTAGATATTATTTTTTATTAATTAAAAGGAGAATCATGAAACTATTGAGTATACGAGGCACTCAGTATAAAATATATAGTTTTTTATGTATTCAATTCATTAGCATCTGAAACTATTAAAGCTTAAATATTTAATTTTCGTTTAAAAAGTTAGTCAATATCAACTTTTTACCACTATCATAATTAAAAACTGAACAAAAATGAACTATTTCAATGTAATATAATATTGACAGACTCAAATTTTATAAGGTTAACAACAATGAAAAATATTTTTTTGTTTTTGATAAGTCAACGATATCTACTTGATAACAATCTATCTCTTGCCAAGATTGAGAATCAGAAACTTTCGAGCTGAAATTTATATATACTATACAAGATTTTATTGTCTAGAAAAGAATATAACAGTATTCAACAATAAATAATACGTTCAGGATGAAACAAGGTTTATATCCCACTTGTTTATAGCGACTTTAAATGATTTTTTAATAGAAACAAAAAAAAATATTTTTAGAAGCTTTCATTCCCACGACGCAATTGTAGAGCAAAATAAATTTGACATTCGGAATAAAGGCTAAAAATTGCACTTAATCAAGAACATTTTAGAGACACTTTTTTCTGTGAAAATAAATCACCTGTGGTTCCTCCATCGGTCGATTTTCGCAATAAAAACGTTTGTCTAAAGTGTATTTAATTCATTGCAGCTTTTGATGATGGTTCCGAATATCGTATTGATCTCGCTATACAACCGTGTCATGGTAATGAAAGCAGCTAAAAATCAATTTCGCTTTTCTATTGAAAAATCATCTAAAACATTATCCAAGAGAAAGATGTGAACTCTAACTCTTAATCTGGACAGGAAACAGATTGTTATGAAGTGTATACTTTAGACTCATTGAAAAAACAATTTTTCATTCTTGTTAATTTTATAAAGCTTGATTCATTCAATATTATATCACACTGAAATATCACATTTTTTCCAGTCTTTAAATATGAGAGTGATAAAAAGTCAAGATTGCCTCATTTTTTAAAGAGTTGCTAAAATTGTGAGAGTAATGGTTTCCTTCATCGATACATTAAATGCATGAAAAATATTTTCTTTAATCAACTATCTTGTATACTCCGTAGTCTCATGATTTGTTTCTTCAATTCTGTTTTTATTGTAGGTACACTTCGTCTTTGGCATTTACCCGATTGTATACAACTTAATTTGTTCGAAACAAAAACATTTATATCATCATTTTCTAAACATTTATTCTATGGTTTATCATCAGATTCTGACAATAATGAATTACCATTAGATTCTTCATTAATTAATTATTCAATATGGAAAATAGATGTTGCTTCATGTCGTTTAATAGATTCTAATATGACAGATGTTTTTATTGCTTTATCAATTTATGCATATCGTGCACATTCAATATATTTAACAACTTTAACAAATCTTGAAAAATCAACAAATGAACAATGTAAATTAACATTTCATTCAAAATATGGTACAATTATAGATTATTGTTTTTCATCAAAAGAATCTATATCAACATCTCAATGTAATCTCTATATATTATTTGATAGTAATATATTACTTAAAATAAATATTATTTCATTATTTTCATATGATAAAAAAGAAATATTAGAAAATGATACAACAATAAGTACAATAATAAATACAAAAGAATTTAATTTCATAAATAATATAGGTTCAAATGAAATAATATTTAAACAATTATTTAAAATGCGTGGAAAACCTGGTGATAGTTCATATTATAAACGTAAAAATGAACGTATTGAACAACAAGAAGAAAAACGTAGAAAAAAACAAGTATCAACACAATTTCAAGAAAAAGTAGCAATTAATGAAAATGTTGAAGGTCAAAATTAACTTGTCATAATAATAAAGAAACTACTCCAACTATAACCCACCGTTTGAGCTCATATTAGACTTACAAGAAGGTATCAGTTAGATTAGAATAAAAACGTAGAATGACTTGTTCTCAGGAATTAACCCGAAAACTCGATTTTGAGCTATGTATTTTGATATGAATCACATTGAAATTCTTTTCTTTTACTTAATGTACTGCAACACACTAGTTTTCATAATTCTAGCTGCTTACGACCTCTCTCTAATTTTGTTCGATTGGATTGGAATTTGTACTGCAGAACCTTCGAAGTATCTTCCAGAAGTACAATCAGCTGGTTTCTTTTTAGACATTTCCATTCGGAATTATACAGCTCTAAAAGTTAACACTTCGAATATTTACGTATTTCACTCATTAACAAGTATCTCCAGAAAAACTTTTCCGTCGGTTTGAATAAAGTTTGATAAAAATCGTAATGTAATAGGATGCGGGTCTATAGAAAAGGGCTCTATCTATGGTAAAAATTTCAATATGATCAGTTGCATCCTCTTCAAGAATCACACATGATAATACAAGAGAAAAGTACCCTTAAGTAACGGAATTTTGTCATGAACTTTTTGCTGATAAATAAGTCTGATGACCATTAGAATATCGTAAAAGTTTTAGCCGAAAAGAATGTTCTTTTGTCAAGATATTGAATTTCCAAAAAATTAGTCGTTTCTTAGAAACATGTCACTAAAATCGAGTTTACTTGACAATTTACTATCTACAAGTTTCAGCTGAAATTTTCAGGATATTCTAAGAGTCATTAAACCTATCTATGAGCTAAATTTCAGTGAAACAGACGTAAATTAACTATAAAGACCTATGCGAACGAATCCTTTTAGATTTTTTTCTAATTTCACCGATACTTCCTTTTTTGGCCAAATATAAGTTCAAATAACGGGTTATAATTGGGGTCATTTCCACATGACTGGGTTTTACTGTAGGCATTCGATATAATTTAAACAGAAGGTGTATAGGTGTTTTTTTTCGTTCTATATGCATCAATGTGAAAAAATACCACTTGTTTTTTCTTCACTGTTAATTATGAAACAAAAAAAAAGAGATGCTGAAATTTTGTGATAACTCTTTTTTCAGATAATGACTTCAACATTGATTACTAACGTATATCGGCGTGTTTCTTCTTATGTAATTTTATTTAATCGGTCAATAATTCATCGAACTGCAGCAACAGCACCATTAGCATCATCTCCGATAACACCTGAATCATTAAAAGATGAGCAACAAAAATCACAATCAAAAGAGAATAAAGAACTAGAAAAGTCTAAAACAGCTCGTCTTACGACAACATCATCCACGAAAGATAAAGCTATTCAAACTGATGAACAAGCAAGAACATCAAATTCATTTGTTATGAATTTATTTCGTGGTCAATTTTATCCTCATGAAGTATTTCCATATCCTAATGTACTTAATGAAGAACAAAAGGATAATATTAAAATGCTCATTGATCCCATGTGGAAATTTTTTGAAGAAAAAAATAATCCAGCAAAAAATGATCAACTTGAAAAAGTATTTATTCAATGATCTCTTTATTAATTAGAAAAAAGCAAAACCCGAATTTCATTTTTTTTTGTAATAGATTCCAGATGAAGTAATGAATGGTTTAAAAGAACAAGGAGCATTTGGTATTCAAGTTCCTGTTGAATATGGTGGACTTGGTTTAACAAATACTCAAGCAGCATGTCTTTTTGAAATAGTCAGTGCACATGATCTTAGTATTTCAATTTGTACTGGTGCACATCAATCGATTGGTTTTAAAGGTATTCTTTTATTTGGTACAGATACTCAAAAACGAAAGTATCTACCAAAATTAGCCGCTGGAGAACATATTGCAGCATTTGCACTTACAGAACCAACAGGTATGAGATTTTAATCAAAATTTAATTGCTTATTTTCAGTTTCTTTAAGCCATTCAAAACAAAGTTTCCGTAAAAATTTTTCTAGTTTATATTCTTATCTGTTATTCTCCATGTGTCAACATAAATTCTTGTTGAGATAATTTAATTTAATCGATTAACGGAAGTCCAAGATTGGATGATTCAAGATGACATCTACCCTATGTTATATAGGCTATTAAGATCCCATTTCTGTCCTAGGGATTCATTGTCTTTTGAAGTTTTTAATATTTCATTAGGGTCTATCTTATGCACAGAGTTCGAAGTGAAAAATGATTTTCAAGTTGGAATGGCTCCCTCATCAGATAGACGAGTATCCAGTTGGTCTATTACCTAGTCGAGTCCGAATTTTGGATATACATTAAGTGCTTATATAGAATTTTATGTATTTTTTTGTTCCAATAACCTTGCAAAATCTGTTTCTCAAATATATTAATGTATGATTAACATAAATCACTAATAATTAAAATTCAATTTATTTCAGCTGGTAGTGATGCTGCATCAATAAAAACAAAAGCTGAACTATCATCCGATGGTCAACATTATATTTTAAATGGTACAAAAATTTGGATATCGAATGGTGGTATAGCCGATATATTTACTGTATTTGCACAAGTACCAATGATTGATGATAAAACAGGTCAAAAACAAAATAAAATGACAGCATTTATTGTCGAAAGAAAATTTGGTGGTCTCACACATGGACGACCAGAAAAAAAGATGGGTATTAATGCATCAAATACAGCTCAAATTTTTTTTGAAGATTGTAAAGTTCCTGTTTCAAATGTACTTGGTGGCGTTGGAAATGGATTTAAAGTAAGAAAACGAGAAAAAAGAAAATGAGTTGTCTTATTTATTGATTTAAAGGTTGCTGTAAATATTTTAAATAATGGACGATTTGGTATGGTTGCTGGTTTATCAGGTACAATGAAAATGGCTATTCGAAAATCGATTGTAAGTTTCTATTAAGGGCATATTCTCTTTTAATCAATATAGAAACGCGAGGTTTTGATTGCTATTTCGGACTTCAAAAAATTTTATTTTATGGAGCTCTTAACGTTAATAAAGTCACGTTCTAAATCTTTCTTATTCAGCACACGATCTATACTATGCCAGTTATTCCATCGTTAAAATACATAGCGCAAATCGAAAATGCATCCTATTCTTTCGTGTTTTTCTTAAACTCATTTTTTGAAGAAAAGAAAAATGAATTTTTCGTCCCGACATTTCGATCGAATCAGGTTATAGGTTTTTCTTTTGTTTGAAAGATACTCAAAACTCAAAATTTTTTCAGGATATTCTCAGTGTTTCACTTCACATTTTTCAATAGCACAATATTTGTCAGAGACGAACACTCTACAATTCAATTTAGTCATTCTTACCACAACAAAATCAATAGATTTATAAGCGATGATGAGGGAGAAAACTCAAGTCATAGCTTTTGCGTTACCTATATCTCAAAGAAGGATGTATGCGAAAACTTCTGGCCTAGGACAACTTTTTCCCACTTGTTGCCATAGGTCCATGAGAAATCAAATTTATTTTGTTTTACTTTTATACTTACTCGTCTTATAAAGTTTTAAGAATATTTTAGTTCCATTTGAGTATGAGTGAAGGAAAGACACACAACAAACCCATGCCGAAAAGGACTAAAGGGTAACCAATATGAAAATCATAGTAGCTTGAAAAGCATAAAAATTAACCGGAATAAATTAATCATTCTTGAGAAAGTCTGAAAAGAGAAAGGTCCTAACAAAAATTGATAACATTTAGTAAATATTTAATAGAATTTTGCTAAAAATCGTCGTCAATTTGGTCGTACTATTGATACATATGGTAACATTCAAGAAAAACTTGTTCGAATGGAAATGCGACAATATGTTACTGAAAGTATAGCTTATCTTTTGGCACAAAATATGGATCGAGGAATGTCAGAATATCAATGTAAGAATTTTTTTTTCTTTTTTTCTTGATTTTATTTTATATTGATCGAATTAGAATTTTAGGTGAAGCAGCTATTGGAAAAATATTTGCATCTGAATCAGCATGGTATGTACTTGATGAAGCAATACAAATTCATGGTGGAATGGGTTTTATGAGAAGCACTGGTCTTGAACGTGTTTTACGTGATTTACGTATATTTCGAATATTTGAAGGTGCCAATGATATACTTCGTTTATTTATTGCTTTAACTGGTTTTCAATATGTTGGTTTATATTTACGTGAATTACAAAAAGCCGTTAAATATTTTAATTTTAATATTATTGTTGGTGAAAGTTCAAAACGTTTACGTCGTGGTATTGGTATATCATCAGGTCCAGATATCAATGAATATTTACATTCATCACTTCATTCATCAGGTTTACTTTTATCAGAATCTATTGATTATTTTGGTATGGCTATTGAACAAATTCTTATAAAATATGGTAAAGCAATACGTGATGAACAATTTATTATTTATCGTATTGGTGATATAACTATTGATTTATATTCAATGGCAGCTTGTTTATCACGTTGTACACAATCATTTCAAAATCAAATACCATCAGCTGTACATGAATCAAATTTAGTACGAATTTGGTGTGAAGAAACATATGATAGAATTAAGAATAATATTAATCTTATTCAAAGTTCAGCTTTTATTGAAAGAACAAGATTAATGACAGAATTATCACGAGAAATTGTTGATAAAGAATCAACTGTTCCTGTACATCCATTAGGTTTTTGAACAATACATTTTTTCTTTTATTTCGATGATTTATTGTTTTTTTTTTCGTTTTTGTTTTTGAAAATTTATTTCTATTTTAAAGAAATAATTGAAGAACTTATTTTTATGTTATACCTATATCCGATCAGATTTTGAAATAAATACATATGTATTAATTAAAATAATAAAAGAAAAAATTTATTATGTTTATATGTTGAATATTTGTTTTTTTGAAGATTGATAAAAAAAATAGAAGATCTTGTCATATATTAACAATATCAATTCATGAAAAAGATATAAATTTGAAGAAGTATCACAAAAGACAGACCAGGGCTTGTTAATACGAGATATTTTTGTCTAGTCTTTTTTTTCATATGCAGACGACTAGTGCTTCCTTTACATTTCTTAGACGATTAGCGACTGTCTTGTCCGAAATTTTAGAATCCGAATTCGACCGACAGGCAATTTGCTACAGTACTGTTGAATGAATGAATTTATATTGTGAAGGAAAATATTACTCAATCATTTATTTGAACTTGATCATTAGATGTATGATATAAATATATACGTCTTTGGTGGGATTTTCTTTGATAATAAATATTAGTTTATCATGTAAATTATCTACTCAACATGTATTTTTTGTTTTTCTAGCTGCTTTCAATGTAGTTCTTTTTTAACATGAGAAAAAAAAAACAACGAAATGAAATGATCATAATACTCTAAATTAGTGAAAATATCCAAATTTCTTTTTTGAAGCTACAATTGACTTTGTAAGTTGAGAGACTGACAAATAACATAATATTCTTTTGCATTTGATCTTGTTGACATGAAAAAGTTTTTATTTTTTTTTTAAATAGTGATAATATTCACATGATTTCTAAATCAACTTTATTAATAGATCACATATATATGCACTGTTTGAGTTCTTATTGTTCGAAGATAGAAAATAACAATAAAGTATAACAAAGCCAAATATGTATGTTTCTTTTTCTATTTTTTCAATATTGTTTGCCTGTCTTATATATACCTATATATTGTATTCCGTTTTGATGATAGAGAAGCCTTTTTTCTTCAGACTTCATTACTCATTTTATGATTTGTTTACACATCAAAGAAATATGAAGGTATATGTTAATGAATAATATGAGACAAAATTTTATCTTTTCAATCTCTAGAAAATTACCAAATAAAAAAAAATAATGTTTTATATATAAGTCGATTTGTTGATTGTACCGAATCAGATTGTTGAAGACGTAACGATACTAAGCGGAATCGTAAAAATCAACCGCTCAATAAAGATACATCTCAATAATGAACGGTGTATATATGGTTATATTTTAATCTGAATAAATGTTACATATATATATAAGCATAAGAAAGTAGCAATAAAATGAAATGTGAATTTAAAGAAAGAGAAACTGTATAGATATGGTAAATTCTAATAAAACACATTTGAACATTTTGTTTCTTTATTTTTATTTTTACTCACCTGACTTTTTCTAATTTAAATAAGTTGATGAACTTGTTAAATTTATGGATTGTCAAACATGGATTCAAGAAAAGAGAAAAGAAAGAAAAGTAACCACCTAAAGAACAACATGTCTTTCTATCGATTTCCATCTGTTTTTTTTTCTTCGTAGCTTTTCTATGCTAAATGTATACATTATTGAAAAATGTTGCGCTTGATGAATTCATCAAATGTGAGTCAATCGTTTTTTTTTTCATTTCGAAATTGTTCAAGTGTAGATCTCGTATATGTTTGTAAAACTACCTTTTTTTTCTCTTTTCTTATAAGAGAAGAACTAAAGGAAAAGAACAATGTAAGAGCTCTTCTCTTTCAAGTGTGACGACAAGTAAAGTGATTAAATGCAAGGAAGTGAGCAACATACATACACACATGAGAGAAGAATTCTTCTTTCTTTTCACTTCTAAATTGTTCATCAAGTCTCTTTTGTACTAATTTATATCAATACAAGTTCATCAATAAGTGTTTTCTTTCATTTTCACCGTAGCAATTTACTTTGTTTTTTTCTTAATCTTATTCACTCGAAGAACATAGTTTCGAATAGGACACACAAATACAACATCAAGCATTTCGCCTGATGAATTTTAAACGAGTCAAAACAAAAAGAAGCAAGTGCGTATGTGTGTTTAGAACGAAATACAATAAAGAAAATCTACAAAATTAAAAAAAAAGAAACTGAATTTTTTACATCGTCATTGTCTACTTATCTGTCCAATGTGAAAATAAAGGAAATTAAAACGTCGAGACATCTGAACTGCAAGCATTTCAAATGAATGTGAAATTCTATCAACTTCTTTTCTTTTTATAGTGATAATTAGATTTGATAAAATATACCTTTTTTGTATGTATTGTATAGGAGCATAAGAAAGAGAGAACAAATGATGGAATAAAATATCTCATGGAGATTTGATCATCAAATAATAAGCTAAACTTACTAGTATGAAATGATGAAATTGCATACTATATGTTTTTTTTTCATGTGTAATGTTGTGTATGTGTATTTTGAAAGACGGGTAGCCGACTGTTGTGTTGAATGAAGGAGAGAATAGTTGTTACAGCAGGAGTATAGAGAAGAAAAAAAAACTGAGAGAAAATTATGAAAATGTTTGTTAAGAGTGTCTGCGCGTAGCAGTGCCTCGATCTCTTTTATTTTCTCTCTCCCTCAAACTACGATGCATTTTGAAATTCCATTAAAACGAGTTTATTCGACACAAAGACAAGTGAAAGAGAGAGAGAGAGTAGGTAAAAAAAAAGGAATGAGAGAATCACACTAGTGTCTCCAATCCATCTAACCAGCTGATCAATCATACAATATTCTCTACTGCGGTTAGTATGTTTCTCTCTGTTTCTCTCTACTATGATTTCTATCTTTATTTTAGTAGAGATTGAAAATGAATATATCAAGGTATGAAACATTGTTGCAAGCAAATAAGTTTATTTGACATACGACGACTTCTCTTTTTCTCACTCTTTTTTTTCTCTTCTCGATTTGTTTGTTTAAGACAATGGCATTATTTTTTTTCATTTCAGAATGTATGTATGTTTAATCATAAGATGACGATAAAGTCAAACAAGTATCATGGCAGCAACAATATATTTGTTTGCATATTCATTCGTACGAATCATATGTAAACTTTCGATCGGCTATAAATTTTCTATGCTAAATTTATATTTTTACTAATAGATTTTTTTTTTCTATAAATATAATTCATTACTTTGGCAAAAAAATACGAAACAAAAAAAAGCCTGTAGAACAATTGATCATTTACAAATGAATAGAAGTCAAAAAATAACAAGTGATGAAATTTTGATTTTTTTTCTTTCATAAATTAAAATGACATACTACTAAAAAACTAAACTAGCGAAAAAAAAAAATCTTTCAATTGATTCAGATGTCACTTGAAGTATCATATTCTGATTGGCTATTAATTTAACGAAAGATAATCGAGACATTGTTTGTTCAATTCATTCATTCATTCTTTGTTTTGTAACGGTTTTCTTCTCTTCAATCTGTTGAAATTTCAGACAAACGTTTCTCCTGTAAAAGGTTCAAAAAAATATTTCAAAAAAAAAAAATGCCATTAACTGATCAACAATTACGTCAAGAATTACTTAGCTATGGTGAAACTGTTCCACCAATAACACAACGTAATCGTGAACAACTTCGTGCTCGACTTGAGCTACTTCGATCACGACCACGTTCACCAGCTAAAAGTTCACCAACACGTACGCGTACAAATGCATCTACAATACGTTCACGTCCTGGACGTGGTTTAATTGAATTAAGTGATTCAGAAACAGATACATCATCCAATGAATATTCGACATCACGTCGAACAGGACGAGACACAAATATTCAAACACGTTCGATTGCTGTAGGACGAGATTCAGATCGATCAAATGTATTACCAGTATCAAATGTGGCTGTTGATGTTGAAGAATCAAGTAAATATTTTTTTCAAATGTATTATGAAATATCGACAATGTATAATGAATGCAGAATTATTTTTTTTTGTGGTTAGATAGACCGTGAAGAGCTAGCTCAGAATATGTGTTTTAATTTTATTCGAATTAGTTTTTAAGGGAAAATTTTCAGTTTATTCGAATGAACTCTTTTTTCTGAGAAAAAGTCAACTTTTGTTGATTTTATTCAAATTTCAAAATCAGTCGTTTCAGATTTAGTATGAACAACAAAAACTGAGACAGTTTATTGTAAATAAATTCCGTAGATTAAGAGTTTCATGATAAATCTGAAATAAACAGGTTTACAATTCGAAGATATAAAAAAAAATATCTTTTTGCAAAATGTGATTCATGTTAATAGAATAGAAATATATACATTCTTGGTCAACTCGTCACATTCTATCTAACTAAATTTTAAAAGAAAATTTTCCTATAACTTTTTATTTCTGTCATTTTATGAAGAATCTCATTAGTCATTTTGTTTTTTTTTTTAGTTGCTCGTCATCGTCGTGAAATTCAACAATTGATTGATTCAGCACGTGATAGAACTCGTGCTGCAAATGCAAGTATAGCATCTGGAAAATATGAACCATCAACAACAACATCTATTCGTCCAAATTCCATAACATCATCTCGTCATGCATCATCAATTAAAACTGATCTGAAAAAACTTATAAAACAACCATCATGGTTTAATCATTCACGACAAAAAGTTGAATTATTTTGGAAAACAAATAAAGATATTATTGCAAATATAGTCAAAGCTTTAATTGTTGGTTTAGTTATTGCTTGTGGACTTATTATACTTAAAAATAAATTACCAGATCTTATTCCACAACAGAGAGGTAAATTGATTGATATCATTTTTTTCTTTATTTGAGATATTTTTTTTCTTTAACTTGTAGGAATTACTTGTACTCCTGATAATGCCGTAAGATTATTTTCTAGTTTTCTTTTGTATAGTTAATAATATTTTATTTTAGACTGACTGTGAGGATATGAAACCAATAATGAATTCAGTACTAAAATTTCTTCAAACTCGAACTGGTAATTTTAAAAAATGAACGAAAAATAAATAATTTGATTTCAAATTTTGCTTTATTCTTTTAGGTGAAGTCGATTGTGGTTTTCGTAAAAATAGTGATCTTTATGTGAAAAAACCTGAAATAGATGAATATTTAGATAAAAAAGTAATTCAAAAATTAAATTTATTGATTTATTGAAAATATGTATTTCATAGGGATTTAAATTTGAATTGGGTCCCGAAGCACGATGGAAAACATTAATTACTTATATAGTCGACAAACCAGTAGATGATATCGAGTAAGTTTATATTATCTTGAAAACAAGTAGAAAATTACTCACGAACGATCATGAATTATGAAAGAATTTTTCCAGATATTGAATTGCTTTTCTTACTGAGACGCTTTTTGTTCGATGAGTTATGAATGATTTGATTTTCTAAATCTTCATTCTTGAGAGATCGAAATTTAATTGGGTTTTGCCTTCTCGGTCATGTAAAAAAAAAAGTCGGCTTTTGACTTCAATCTTTGCATGAGTCAAGTTTTTAATGAGATCATCTGATTTGGCAAGTTTTAGCTATGCCAGGATAGTCTATGATGAGAATTTCAAAATTCTCTCATAGTTCGTATATTGTTATCTCAAGAAGGGAAAGACGAGTTGTACAATTAATTCATTTCGTGCAAATTATAAAATTGATTGTCCAGGCTACTACGGTTTTTGGTTCAAAAATCTATCTTAAGAACGAAGATACAGAATATCAAACTATTCTCGACTTTTTTTTATAACTTATTAAATGAATATCGTCTTGGTTGAAAAGGGATTTCACACCTGGAGAAAGTTCCTTCACTAGAAGAGTGAGCAAATAGAATAAATTTATAATGCAACCTTTAGAATTTTAATCTATCTAGAAGCAAAAAACTTTCATCAGTAACGTGAAATTAATATTAAATAAATAAATTTCGAAGTTTTCTTGTTTTCGAAATTTCCATTCGTCATATTTTTCAGAATATCTTTTTGTGCAAAACTTATTCACTTTCTATTAAGTCAAAGAGAAATATTTTCTTATAAAAAATGAGCGACTATTAGTTAAATCAATATATCATTGAAAGTATTCCCAAAGAAGAAATCATTTATTCATTTTTACTTTCATAAAATCGATCAGCCCATTTTATAAAGTTTCACAAAACGATGGTCGTTAACTATTGAAGTATCTTTTTGGCTATGATTAGAAAATGACAATGAAAATCTTTTGCAAATATATTGAATCTAAAATAGGAATTAAGATAGTAGCTTTTCGTCCAAAAGAGGAAATTCGAGAATCCAACAATTCAAATATTCGTATTTTATAAACTACAGTATATATTTCGATTTGAGTATTGTTTTTACACTTATATCATGAATAATATTTAGAGTATATGATAATCAAAATCGACCAGTGAACAATGTTAATGATGCATATAAATTGAAGGCAACAGAAGGAATTCATTCATTATTATGTCGTACTCGTCGAACTGTTCATTCAGCAATGCAACATTTAGCTTGGCTTGTAATAGGTAATATCAATTTGTTGAATTATTATTTTATATGTAATTAATCTTCGTTGTTTTTCTTATTTTTTAGGTACAATTGCTTTTCTTACATTAGGTTGGTTTTTTAAACGACGTTCAAAACAACGTGAAGAAAGTGAAAATACATATAAAAATTTAATAAATGAAATAATAAATTTACTTGAAAATCAATATGAAGAACATTTACATAATCCAGAAGTAAAACCATGGCTTGCTATAAGTCATATTCATGATATGCTTATTCCAACACAAGATCGGTTAGTATATATAATATATTGTTTTGTTTTTCCTATAGAAATTTTTTCTCAAAAATTTCTTTAGTAAACGATTAAAAAATCTTTGGGAACGAGCTCAAAAACAAATAACTCAACATGAATCACGTATACGTGCAGAAACACAATTAATTCATGGTGAAGAATTTGAAGTTTGGAGATGGATACAACCACGTTCATCTAGTCCATCGCCAACAAGACAAAAACGAACAGTTAGTTAAATGAATTGTTTTTGAATCTTTTTAAAATTAATATCTTTTTTTTTTGTTTTGTTTTAGGAATCACCACATAGTTCTAATGAAGAAAGTTATGTTTTCATGCCACCTGATATTGGTCTTACAGAATGTCTTAAATTACGAAATTTCTTTGATCCACATGGGTATGAGTAATTATATAACTGAGAATGTAACGATGATAATGATCACAGTAGACCAATGCACTCGCCTAGACATGCACATAATCAAACCAGTGTAATATTAAATTCATTTCGACTTTTTCGATGGCTAAATATTTATTTCAAGAAAATAGTTGAATTTTTTAAAAGATGAGGAAATCGTGAGAATTGACGAGAAAATATTTTCCAGCAGGATTCGAGATTTCTTTAAAAGTGAGAGGGAGCTAAATGTTTTTAGACAGTGCTTCCATCGTCTGAGTGCTGGAAGTGATGATCGAAGGAGAGATTAACAAAACCCACTGTCACCTAGCCCGTTCCTCCTTCCGATCTTTTTCACCTCACAACGATCATTATCTAGGTTTTTTTATTTTATTTTCTACCAGAGAAAGGCAAATGCTATGTCAAAATCTAGTTTTTGTTCAAATCTATCTCGAGAATTGAGTTTTCAAGTGATTCGCTCGATTTATCAATGTATAAGAGGTTATTTAAGTAGCATAACGTGCAAAGGTTTCGTAATCATGCTTTGATTTGGTTGAGATAGCGGCTTTTTTTGAATACATTTTCGACCTGAAACTTTGTAAATGTGAAAGTCTCGATTAGATGATTTCATGTATAATGTTTCATCAATTTTGGATACTCCATTGCCAAGATATAGATCTCTCACTATATTTTTATATTTTGACAGGAAGATATCGAAAATTGATGAAATAATCTCATAGAAATCTTCATATGTACACAATTTCAGACCAAAATTCACAGATGTAGTGTTTTTCGAAATCAATCGAATACCACCCTAGTGTTATGAGTTCAACATTGCATTCCTAGATAAAAAAAATTTCTGTCAATCTTTTTTTTTTATGTTTAGTATTACTGATGATGATGAAATTGATCTAGTTGTTGATAGTATTCAAAATCGTTGTGCGACAGTTAAAAGAATTGAACATATTGGTATAAATTCAATATTTGTTTACTTAAAATTTTCATCAAAGGAAGCAGCTGCTCAAGGTTTTCATTTACTTAATAATTGGAAATATCATGGTAAAGTTTTTTTTTTTTATTTAAGATGAAAAAAAAAAAATTCAATTTTCATTTAAGGTCGTGAAATAATTGCTAAATATCTTCGTCTTGAACGTTATCATGAACATTTCCCTGAAGCTCGTGAGAGTGGCTCAACAAATAATTAAATCAATTGTATTGTTCTCTCTCTTTCTTTCTTCATTTTTCTTTTCCTTTGTGTTCTTGTTATTTTGTAAGCCGGAAATCTACTCTATGATGTATTTAGACAAAATTTTCTCTTCCTTCATTTGTGTTTAAGTTTCAGAAGGAGGACATAATGAAATATAAAAAAAAAAGAGCTAAACCTTCTTTTCTTTTTTTTTACTGTTATTACTTCAATAAAGATATGAATATTGCAGATAAAATATAATGAGTGAATTTGCATCATCTGTAAGTTCACAAACAACAAGTTGGTTTGAATTTTTACTTAATCCAACATTAATAGATACATTTTTAACAGAAGATAATCTCGGTAATAATTATTGAAATGAAAATAAATATAAAAAATAAACATAAAGATTTGTTTTGTTTAAAGAAATTACTGGTACGGATTTAATTATACAATTTTTAATAAGTGCAAATTTAATTGAACAAAAAACAAAACTTAAAACAGCTACTGAAAATCCAAGTATGAGGACATATATATGTATTGTGTAACTTATTTTCATGTATGTAAAATCTTCGTTTAGATGATATTGAATTAAAGGATAATCGTATTCGAGCATTGAGACATTTGGCGATAAAAATTGCTGCTAAACTTAAGTGGGATTTGGTAGTTATTGAAAAACGGTAATGATATTTTTTGAAAAACATGTTTGGTTTAGACTCATACTAAAAACACAATGATGCCTCGAGCTGTGATTCTGTTTCGAATTATTACAGAGCTACTATTTATTAGAAAAGTCTTTTACTCAGCTTGAAGAAGTAGTTCATTTTTTGAAAATCGAGGTGGCTCCCTAGGACTTCGTGTTTCTGTTACTGTGTGCTATGTGTTTGTGCTTTCAAATCTAGATTTTTGTCCTTCTGGAGGAGGAAATCTGGATAACATACAGCATCAGGATCATAGTAGAAGGAAAATGTTGAGCACATTGGTATGTTTGAGGTAGTTTCCTAACGATTATAGCTTGGATGAAAGATTTATATAGCTAAAAAAGTTTTCTTTCAACATAGTCATCTTTCATCTTTTGTTACAATTTTTCGAAAGCCTGTTCCTTAGAAAACCAAGATACTTCAAAAGCCAACTATTCAAAAATCTCTTGTAAACAGTTTTGAGCTAATTGAGATGTTTCCGAGTTTTTCACAAGCTAAATGTCATTTGATGAAGAACGGTTACAGGAAACTGATATTGAGGAATCTTGATCTTCCAAAGGACTGGCATCTAAAAAGTTTTAATAAAAACTCGACAGAAAATTCTTTTAGCTATCATCGTTAGGAAAGTCTCAAAAATATCTGAGTGCTAAACTTGTTGTCTTCACTATAGTTGCTAGGATTTTTTTCTGATTTTCAATAATAAACTCAGATTCAAATTATTTCTCCTTTTGCTTCCTGACTTCCAATACGCTGAATTTACATTTTTTATGTGAAAATACAGAATCACTTTATTACGAAGTAAGATATGAAAAGATCGCTGACATTGTCAATCATGTATACAGTTGTAGTTGTTTTCTATTTCTCTTTAAATCCTTTTGAATACATAATAATAAATTTTCTTTATATTATTAAAATTTTTCGTGAGAATACGATATTTCCGAAAAAAATCAAAATGAAGAATTTTATCTACGAATAGATTTCGTAGTTATTATGGTACCTTAAAAGCTTCAATAAAAGTATATTGGTCTTTTTTTTTAGAATACACTATCTTTAAACAGAAATGTATACCGAAGAAAAATACCATAATTGAATCGACTCTCTCAAGAAGGAGAAGTTTACATTCGTTTTAATTTCCATGGCATATGAATATTTCTATTCCTATTACAATGTTATATTCATTTTTTTCTGGATTTAGTATTAATCATAATATAAATTTGAATAGTTTTCTCGGTCTTTGTCGATTGATATTAGTCAAAGATTTGCATGAGCACGAGCTTCTTCAGTTCCACTCACAAAACATCTCGTCATGACCCCGAAGACATTTCGAATTCAGTTAATACTATAAGAAAATAAAGCTATTAAAAGTTCTTTCTTAAGCATTGAAAATTTTCAAGGATTTTGTAAATTCAAATTTACTATAAGCTAACTAACATTTGTAGAGATCATAGTAACAATATCTAAAATCGATGAACGATTAAATCATCACAATGAATTATAAGAAAACTTTTATGAAACTTGCTCGTATATTCTGAGTATTACATTTATGAATAATTACAAGTCACTTCATTTAGTCAAGTTTTCTTTTAGAAAACTGATTTTATATGTAACTGATAATAAATTGCTTTTTTTTAACGACTTAAGTTACTTTCAAATTCATTCTGTACATATCCGTAATATTTGTCTCATGTAATATCTGATAACTATAATAAAAAAAAATAGTAGTCAATTTTCTTGTAACAAAACAATAGTTTTTGATTAGAATCTTTGAAAATCATTTTTTCAAATGCTCAGTCGTTTTATTTAAAGTTCATAAATTTGTCAACTTTATAATCAATCAAAAACTTAAAGAACCAATTTATTTTAATTCAATTTGATTTTATTTATGTTCGCAAATGCAGAATAATCAATCCAAATAACAAGATATCTATTCACAGACACAAGAGCTTAATCATGTTTTTCTAAAGTTGAACACAGTCACGGTCACGCTCAAGCGTAACGACAATCGTGATCGTAACTTCTTTTCAAACATTTTAGTACCTACGTATTTCTATATTGCATGTTTGTTCACACTACTGTCGGTACAACTGAAACCAATCCAGACCTGGTCGGATCTAGGTCAGAGCACACTTATCGATATACCGCAGTAGAATGACGATCATAAAAGTCGACTGTTTAACTATCAAACTATCGACAGTTAATTGTCAGTACACAGACTCCTTTTTTGTCAGCACTTGGAATAAATCGCACATTTTACTAAACGATCCATCAACGATTTTCTTTTATTCGATTTGAACTGCATAGATTTACAAAAGAAAATATAAGCATTTTGAATTTGAAAGGATTATCTCATCATTTAATATATTTTAGTATTCCTGTTGCGGTTGCATCAGATCTTATTCATTGTTTCGTACGATTGACAACTCAAAGTGATAAAAATTATAAAGATCGTGAACAACTACAACAATTAAGTAGACTTGATGAACCAGGACTTTTTGCTGTACAATTATTGCATAGATGGTTTGTATAAAAGAAAATTATAATTTATTCTTTTTAATTAGTTTATTATTTCTAAGGACTGTAAGAACATGTGTTCAATCATCATTTCCAATGAAACCTGTCAAGATTTTTCAAGTTAATGTGTATGACTTTTTCAATTTAGACTTTTTTGAAAATTTTTTATATTTGTTTCTTTTCTTTTTTTTACAGAGCTGGATATGTAAATCCATTACAACATATGCGGGGACCGAATGAAAATGTAATAGAAATGGCACGTGCAAAGGTGAGAGAAAGTATTCAAGCATTAGAAGTTTTATTAGAATGCACATCAGTCGTACGCATACCTGTAGATGCGTGTTTTGGTTTAATTGATATTGAAAATGGTATAGTACCATGTGATTGGTCTCGTACACAAGTTTATCCACTTGTTGAATGTCTTGCACGTGTAAGAATTTTTAATTATTATTATAAATAATTAATGACATATATTAAATAGATTGCTTATGATCTTGGTTCAATATATTTTTATGAACAAAATTATGTTAATGCTTATACAATGTTTCGACGTGTTAATGATTTACGAAATCAATTAGAACCAACAAATTATTTTTCATCACTTGATGGTTATTTAATATTACTTCATTCAATAAATCCATCTATGGAACAAAGTCTTTTAAATAAATCTAAAGATCGTTTTCTTATGGGTATACCACCACCACGTGCTTCTGTTGAAGTAATAAAAATAAATTCAAAATCTTTAAAAAAAATCTAATGATTATATTTAAAATTTAGGATTATATTTCAATATTAGCAGAAGATAATGAAAAAAAAGAAATGACCATGGCTGCTCGACATAGATTAGAAGAACGTCTTGAAGTGTAGGATGTTCTTTATTTATGTTTTCTATTTTCTCACTTGATTTCTTTCATCATTTAGTGGATCACAACAATATAAAATTGTATGTTCATTTAATCTTGTTCGATCTTTACTCGATGGTAAACACATATCAAATACTCAATATACATTTGATTATCTTGAAACAGTAAGAAAAAACTACCTGGTTTTTTTTTGCTCTGTCAATGATTTAATTTTTCAAAAGGCACTTCAACGATTAAAACAAGTAACATCACAACAACGGCTATTATTGAATAGTTTTTTAAAGTATAAATATATTTATTATTCATAATTAATATAATCATAAAAATTATATTGTTTTCTCATTTTAGAATTCATTTTTATAATTTAACAAAAAGTTTACAAGAACAACTACGTCTGGATAAACTTGCTCATCTTGTTGGTCCTAAATTTTCTATTCCAAATTGGCACACAAGAAAACAACAAACAGTACAACGATCTTATCTACTCGAAAGACCTAATGGTATTTAAATAATAGCTTACATATTGCACTTTTGCTCGCACTACCGTTAGCATACTGCAAATAGATTGCCAGCAGGAGAATAACTAGTGGTGTACCTCAATAGAATAGCAGGCACAAGATAGTCAAATAAGAAAAAGCAAGACTTCAGTAATCTGAAGTACCGTACTTAGGAGTACTGATGAAGTCTTGTTTTTTTTCTCTTGGAGGATAGTCGACCATTTAAGTGTCATACTATCGATGAATCCATCCAGTACATTGCACATTATACCAAATGTCCTATCGATGGTTTTTGTCTAGTTTGAATTATATGAGAAACAGTGCTTTGTTTTGAGTGACAGCCGACGGAGTGGTGCTCCTTCAGAGATTGAGTTTGCCCTCCTGAAGTTTTAAAGCATGCTTTCGAAAGAGAAAATCTGGATAAAATGCTGATTGAAAGATAATAAA